AAGATGTCAGAAGATTCTTTTGTCTGCTAGAAGAGATCCATACATTTGACTCTCATCCTTAGCATCTAATGCAAAGAGAGAAATAGTTATTTCTGTGCTCTGTAGAATTTTAAAAAATTGTTTTTGTAATAGTACCTGAGAATCAAGAAACATACTGTGATGTTGTTTGATTTTTTTTAATTAGCGTAATGATTTTCATGGAGCAATTTTATAGAAAGTTCATCCATACATGGTATAGTTTGTCAGTCTCTGCAAAAGGCTTCATAATCTAATCAGCCAAGAACTTTCAACTTCTCTCTAGAACAGTATTTTGTGATTTTTTTTTTAAGAGAGAGAGAATTTTTTAATATTTCTTTTTTTAGTGTTTTCGGCGGACACAACATCTTTCTTTGTATGTGGTGCTGAGGATCGAACCCGGGCTGCACGCATGCCAGGCGAGCGCACTACCGCTTAAGCCATATCCCCAGCCCAATGTGTTTTGTGATCTTTAAAAACCTCATGGCTACTGTGCATGGTGGTACACAACTATAATCTCAACTTGGAAGGCTGAGGCAGAAGGATCATAAGTTTGAGGCCAGTCTCAGCAACTTAGTGAGACCCTGTTTCAAAATAAAAAGGGCTAGGCATGTAGCTCAGTGGTTGTACCACTGGCTTCAATCCCCAGCACCAAAAAAGAAAAAAGCCCACTCATGGCCTTTTAGAAAACATGAAAATCTCATACCTCATTTTCATCCTGATAAGTACTTCCCTCTTATCCTCATCAATGAAGAATATTTTAAATTTCTTTTTCTTAAGTTTGTATTATAAAAACAATCTTCTTTTCTCAATAGCTATGTTATTATTTTGAGTATGACTTTCAAACAATATGTGGAGTATAGAATTCTTTTCTTGAAATTGGTCAAGAGTTTAGGTAGATGTGCTGGCATTTTGGTTTATCAAACAACTTAAGATATAATAGGCATGCTGCCAGAGCTAGGCCCTATTGTGTGAGCACTGTGGTCTTTGCTGCTAGCAAGCGAACATTTCCCTCTGTCATGGGCTTCAGATTTAAAGCAGGTTTTGCTTTCCTAGGATCCAGCTAATAATATTGAGTACTTAGAATGTGCCAGATGCTCTGCTAAGTGCTTTATAATTTACAACAAATATTTACTTTCTCTCATTTTATAAATCTCAAAATAACCTCCATCCTACAAAGTAGAGAAATCAGGAGAAGTTCAATGATTTGACCAGGATCTTCTAATGCATGTATGGCAGAATCAGACTTGAGGTGTGTTACTTTTACCACATCACCATGCTGGAGGTCTTAATCTGGTTATTTTGCCCTGTAAAGTCAAATGGGAATTTTTGATAGGCTGCAGGTTTTTCCTCCTCAGATTTGTTCAGATTATTAATACTGAGATTCTCCACCAGATTTCCAAGCCTTTTTAACCCTCTTTGGAGTTGAACGCATATTTACTTCAATTATGGAAATGTCTCCTTAAATACATGAATATTACATGCAAGTAATTATGAATTATTAATGTTGCCTGGGGCTTCTTGCTTTCTTAGGTTTTCATGGTGTCCCTGAGCACTTGAGCCATTTAGCTGAACAGTAGCTTCTTAGCCACTGTTTAAGTGTTCATCCTTTTTCATTAGATGTAGATCTTTCCTTCCTTCCTGAGTTCTTGTTTTTTGTTGTTGTTTTGGTTTTGATTTTGGTTTGTTTGTTTGTTTAGTACTAGGGATTGAACCCAGGTGCACTTAAGAATTGAGCTACATCCCCAACCTTATTTGACAGGATCTAAGTTGCCAATACTGTCCTTAAATTTGCAATCCTCCTGCCTCAGTCTCCCGGGGAGCTGGATTACAGGCATTTGGCCATCTGTGGATTTCTTCTTAATAGTACTTCTTAATGGTTACTGTTCTGATCTTACAGAACAGCTAAAACCCCTATGTATTCCCCTTGACTTCAGGAAATTCTTTCACAAATCCCTGACTCTCCCTTCCTTTCTCCTTTCTTGAAGATTCTATTCTTTTCCTGATTTTATAAACTCCTTTTGATTATAAAACTAAAGAGCAGGACCTGAGCATTCCCAAGATGCTCTCTTCATTTCTGCAGGCCACACAGATGGAGAACTGTGTGCAGAGGTCTATCAGGACAGACTTCACACTGTCCTGCTCTACACAGCTCTAGTTTCTGAGACTTCACCTAGACTCATTTATGTCTAATTTAAATTTCTGCTTTCCCCTTTCTCTGTCATCCTCTGTACTTGTGTTACAAGTCTACAGTCTAGTTTTCTTCATTTGTTTCCTCTCTCTTACAAACTTGCTTTCTATGTGAGTTAACTCATTTATAAAATGAGCATGGTACTAGTCTTTTCTACTTCAAATCCACGCTGAGAATCAAGGGAACATACATGAAAGTGTTTTTAGAAAGCAGGCAAAAAAGACAGTTATGAAAAGGTGTTACTTGTAATTGATTTCAATTTAATGAAGACATGCAAAAACATTAATATTTTATGTCCTTTATTTCAAACTGTTTTGGATTTTAAAACTTGGTGCAGTTTAAAGGTTTGGTTTTTGTTTTTTGGTGCTAGGGATTGAACTCAGGTGCACTCAATCACTGAGCCACATCCCCAGCCCTATTTTGTATTTTATTTAAAGATAGAGTTTCACATTTGCTAAGGTTGGCTTTGAATGTATCGGGCCTTCCAGGCCACTGCACCTGGCTACTTTAAATGTTTTGTTGGTGCTAGTTATAATGGGATTTGCCATATAGCTTTCATCCCTTTGGTGATCCTTTGATCATCCTGTGAATCTTCTCCCCATTTTCCACGGATGTTCTTGAATGTTGTAGAATTCTGAAAGGGTCATGAGTAAACCCTGAAGATATGATGAACTCTGTATACTTTGATATGAAAACACACTATGAGTCTCTCCCCTTGGATTGAACCCAGGTGCACTTAAGCATTGAGCTACACCCCCAACCCTATATACATGTCATCAGCACGTATATAGGGAATATATGCGATGAGCAGTTGAAGTCCTCATGCTAAACCCAAAGCCTAGCACTGCCTTGGACTACCCATCCTTTCTGCTGTAGCTCCTTCCACTCCCCCAGGGAAGCCCAGTCTCCTGGACAGTGTTATATAGCTGGCTTTGGAGTTGCTGCTTTTTCTGGGTCCTCAGGGACCCTTTTTTCCTGTGCTGGGCTGACATTTCAAATAGTCCTGAGGGCTTCTGGAGCCAGTCTCAGAGCCGTGAACCTGAGCTTGTGTTAGAGGAAGCTTAGCTTAATATAAATAAATCTGTAAGAAAAGGTCACAGGGTCACTGTCAGGAAAGAAGTAAAAAATACAGTGTTTACTCCCTCTCCTCCCTGAGAAATTGAAGCCCAACTTGGTGTTGAAATGGGATGGTAAAACAGGAGTGGGTCTGAGAATTTGGGGAGATCTGTATCTGCCCTCACAGCTTTGGGGACCTGATACAGTGATCCCAACAGACCTGAAGCCAGACTCCAGTGAGATATCTAAGCAAGTGACTCTTTCATCCTGTTTCCACCAGTTAAGGGAGAGAAACATAAAATAATTTCGTTCAAGCATTTAAGCAAGGAAGAATCACTAATATGAGCTTCCACTAATTTTTACATCCATGGACCAGAGAAGGTAGGATGGGAGTGTAATGGATGCAAAGGGAATGATTATTATAGGAAGGTGATAAGAGCTATATCTGCACACCATGGGGATCTGTGACAAGAAAGCAGAGAGGTGTAAATGCCAGGGCAAGAGTAATAATAGCAGGTGTCATTATTAAGTCAGAAAAAATAATTCTTAAAGATAATTGTAGTAAGCTCTGTCACATTCATACTGTCTAATGTCCAGCAAGGAGCCCAGGGCTTGGCCCATACCCCACTCTTCCATCAGTCTCTCCTTGTACTGTTTCTAGTGAGAGGGATAGCTCTCTTGGGAGTAGGGAATTTGACTCCCCTCCTGCTGTGGCATTCATGGGGCTCTGATTATTGGTGTTCAGTAAAAGTTTAAGAAAAAATAAATGGAGGCTGCGGTTGTGGCTCAGCAGTAAAACCCTCGCCAAGCACGTGTGAGGTACTGGGTTCAATCCTCAGCACCACATAAAAATAAATAAAAGTATTGTGTCCAACTATAAAAACTAAAAATATTTTTAAAAAAGAAAAAGAAAAAATAAATGGATTATTCTGGAGCATAGTGTCTTCCCCTTCTCCTTAAGTGATACCACTAATCCAAAAGTTCTTTTCAAGTAGGAGGACGGTAGTGTTGGGTGTGAAAGGGCAGGTCCTATAAAACTGCTGCTTCCTGCCACAAAATAATTGTGTTTATGTAAAACTATAAAAATAAGGCGAGGGCTGGGGTTGTGGCTCAGTGGTAGAGTGCTTGCCTAGCACATGTCAGGCACTGGGTTCAATCCTCGGCACAACATAAAAAATAAATATATAAATATATTGTGTCCATCTACAAGTAAAAAATAATAATTTTTTTAAAAAGATGATTTAGGGCTGGGGTAATGGCTCAGTGGTAGAACGCTTGCCTAGCATGTGTGAAGCACTGGGTTAGATTCTCAGCACCACATACAAATAAATGAATAAAATTCAGGTCCATCAACATCTAAAAAAAATTAAAAATAAGGCGATGTGGTTATTTCCATTTTATACTTGAAAGTGAAGTAGAGTTGGTCCAATGCTCTTTCCTCTCCCCAGACCCACAGAGGTCTGCCTCCTGCCTACGGTTAAGGCGGCCGGGCCCTCCAGCGGGTGCCTTCTCCCGGGAGTGGTACGAGCCAGATGCTCCAAGAATGAGGGGTGTCGAGAATTAATTATGGAGCTCCTGTGGTGCCTGGCACTTGCCTGAGTGGCATAAAGATGCCCGTGCTGTGCAGGAGGAGGACTTCTTTGCCCCACTTTTAGTCTCCTAGAGAAGCTCAGGGTTTGAAGTTATTACTTGGTGGCCAAAAGCCAGCGGCCGTGGCGAGCGAGGTCCTGGAACTGTCTTGCTGCGGGGGCGGCGGGAGGGTGGGCGGCTCAATCCAGGACCCATGGAGGAGGAAGCGCCCACCCCGCCAAGAGCAGGTGCGGGGCGGGGCCGCTACGGGAGGCAGGGCGGGGCTCCTGCCGCAGCTCCGCCCCAGGCGCAGGTTTAAAAGCAGGGAAGGCGGGCCCCTGGAGCCAGCTGCGGGCGCGGGCTGGCAGACGGAGCTGTGGGCACGGCCATGGCCCGGCACGCGGGGGGCGCTTGGTGGCTTAGTGGCCTCCTGCTCTTCGCGCTGCTGGCAGCCGGTGTCTCCCCGCTCAACTGGGATCTTCCGGAATCCCGGGGCCGAACAAGCAAGATCCGAGTGCACCCGCGGGGCAACCTCTGGGCCACCGGTAAGTCTTAGGGGACCCCAGCAAGCGTCCCTCACCCCGCTCTGGCCCCTCCTAGTGTCCGAGCACTAGGGGATCATCTAATTTAGTAGATAGAGAAGTTGAGTAATTTGGCTAAGATAGTAACTTGGCTAAGATCTCTTAGCAAGTTTAAGGCAGAGCTGGGTTTGAATCCTACCTAGGTCGACTGCCAACCGGTGTCCTTTCCTTAAGCAAGACTGCCGAATCTTATAACCTCTGGTGTGTCTTTCTGCACATTCATCTTCCAGGCACCTCTTCATTCCCTACTTCTTTCTTTGCCCTTTTCTGACCCTCCTCCAAGCAGGCAGTACAACTGGCAGTTTCCCCCTGGTCCTAGTTTGTCCCACCTTCCTTCCAGCTGTGCTGTCCCTACACCTGTTCAGGAAAAGCTGAGGTAGCAATCTTTGTCACCACTCCAATGTCTTTGTGGCTCCTTGGTGAAGAGAATGAAGGTTTCCTGTCTTCCTTCCAAGAGAAGTGAAAAGTGGGAAAGATGGGGAACTTTCCCACTGGAGCAGGATCCTCACTCCCTGACTTCCATGTACCTGGGCACCTCCTTTCTAGGTCACTTCATGGGGAAGAAGAGTCTGGAGTCCCCCAGAGCATTCCCGTTGGGGACAACTCCCCATACCTCCCTGAGGGACCAGAGACTGCAGCTGAGTCATGATCTGCTCAGGATCCTACGGATAAAGAAAGCTCTGAGCATGAGCTTCAGCAGCCCAGCACCCCAAACCCAGGTGAGCCAGGCCTCCACCCCAATACCAGGATGGTTTAGCCAAGGCCACCTAGGATCCAGCATGGAGGAATTACCACCCAGGATTGGGTGTGATTACGCAGCCAGGGCATAATGGGTATAAACTCCAGAAAGCCAGGATTCTGGGCCCTCCCTGTGTCCCAAGGCTTAAAGGAGACACTCCAAAGAAAGGAAGCTGACCTTCCCACCAGACTCCATGGAGCAAGAAGTAGGGAAAGAAGTTCCCCATCACTCAGTCTAAAGTCACAGGCTGGCCTCTTGGCAGCAGAATCTTCTCCCCTAACTACACAGCTTTGTTCCACTTCAGATGTCCCCTACTATATAAACCTTACATATGGTTATGACCAGAGCTAGGACCCTGAGAACCAGAGAGGGCAAGAGAAGTCAGCAACCAAGACAGAATTAAAACCTTGTTCACGTTCACCAGTGCTCTTGACATTCTAGGCTGGATAATTCTTTGCTGTGGGCATCCCTGCACATTGTCGGATGTTTAGCCATGTCTGTGGTTTCTACCCACTAGATGTCATTAGCACCTTGCCTCTCCTAAGTTGTGACAAACAAAATTATTTCTGAGCCAGGTGTGGTGTATACACCTGTAATCCTGACAATTTGGTAAATTGAGGCAGGAGGATCCCCGAGCCCAGGAGTTTGAGGTCAGCCTGGGCAACATAGCAAGACCCTGTCTTTAAAAACAAAACAAAAAAAATACTTCCAGAAATTGCCAAGTGTCTCCCAGGGTGGGGCAAATCACTCTTGGTGGTAAACCAACGATCTATGGGGTTCAAGGTCCTAAAGCTGGAAATAAGCCACCCTTCCTGGCTAGCATGGGTGGGTGGCTGCTCCTCCATTTGCTGCTCCCAGTGCTATCCCTACTGCACACACCCTCCTTGGTACTGTTATCATGTGCAGAAAGCAGTGTGATGTGGCAGAATGTGGGCTGTGGCCACTGTGCTGGACTCAAAACCTAGCTACTCAATAGCTATATAACCTTAGAATGTCACTTACCTACTCAAAGGCTCATCTTCCTCATCCATAAAGTGGAAATACAGGCCCTTCTCCCATTATGTTATTTGTGCAGCATGGTGCTGGCACATAGAAAGCCCTCAGTAAACAGGAGCACTTACCAGTCCGTGAGCTTTCTGGCAGTACCTGTTGGTGCCTCATTTTTGTATCTGCCACTGTGTCTACCATAAAGTATGCATATGTTGAAAGAAGAGAAGGGCATTCCCTAGAAAAGGTCTAGCCCCAGCCCACATCCCGGACTTTCAGATGCATAACTCCTGGGAACCTCACATAATAAGGGCTAGGAGGTTGGGCTGGCTATCTGAAGGAAGACTATTATCACCTCTAGGGCCATGGAATTTGAAGGCCTAAAATGTACAGATTAACTAGAGAATCCCTAGCTATGGGGCTGGGGGAACTTGAGGGAGGTCTGGGCAGAGCTTGGGGTAGGGGGAATAAGGACACTGACAATGGCCCAGTGCCAGACACTATACTATTACTTGACTTCCATGATCTCCTGTAATTGTCATGCCTGCCCTGTGCTATTGGGGCTGTGTTCTGAGAAAACCACCACCCCTAATTCCTCTCAGGACTTTCAGAGAGAAAGTGCTCGGTGGCCTGCCTCAACTGAGAGTCTGTCTCTGCCCACATCTGCAAACACTCAGCACTTAGAAATGGCAGCATGGCTTTATCATTTTCCCCTCTCCCCAGGTCATTTCTTCTCTTTGTTTTCCTTCAGTACAGGAGGCTGCTGGTGCAGATACTGCAGAAGTGATGCCAGTATTGGGACAGACACAACATGGCTTAGATTGTGCCCACCCAGGCAAGTTGCTGAATGGAACCCTAGTGGTGGCCCCATCTGGATGTAAATCCTGAGCTTGAATCTGTTATTCCATTACTGTGATTTCCGTTTGGTTCGCCAGAAATATTGCAGTTGCAAACACAACCTATGTTCCTGCTGTTTTTCTTGCTTCTCTGATGAAGTTGTGAATAAAACCCTGCTGTTTATATATAGAATGCATGGTCCTCTCTTTCCAGCCACGTTTAAGGGAAGGGAAGAGGAAGGGAACTGGAGGGTGGGGTGTTCAGTGAAATTAGGTGGGCTCTAAAAAGCCCGGGACACCCCCATGTCTGGCATCAGCCTGGCAGTGACTGAGCTCTTACTCCATTCATTCAGCAAGGAAGTACAATGCCCACTGTATGCTGGGTCTCCTTCCAGTTGCTGGATTCTGCTCTCGCCTTTGCCACCTACTGGTGTAGGCAAATGTCTCTTCCGTTTCCTCGCCTCTAACGAGGGTACTACAGTATACTAACACTACACTACTGGGCTTTACTTAATCTCATCATATTTCATTTCCACGCCAAGTTTCTAGAGGAGTACCTAATGCGTGGAGACAGAGAGCCTGGTGAGATTGCAGACCCCGCTATCTGCCTGCTCTCTTCTCTGAATTTAAGTAGAGTTGCCAGAGTTAGCAAATAAAAAATGGACACCCGGTAAAATTCGAATTTCAGATAAAAAAAATTTTTCGTGTAAAATGTCCAAAAAATTGCATGGGCATAGTCACACAAAGAATATTATTCATTGTTTACCTGAAATTCAGTTTAGCCAGATGGTTTTGTAATATTCCTGGCCTTGGGATACTGACCGCCGTTTTCTGGGCTGCAAATACCTAGATCTAAAACAGGTATTTGGTTCGTCCAGCCCTGCTCCGAGCTAACTTCGGAGTCTTTCTTCCCTTTTCCGGGAGCTTTTCCCCAAAGATTTCCCAGCACAGCCCAGCGAGGGCGGGGCGCACGGGCAAGCCAGCTGGGACACCACGGCCCCGCCCGCCAGAGGGAGGCCGTGCCCTCTCCTCGCGAGAGTGCCGCGGATGTCCTGGGAGGCTTGGAAGCGGAAGCGGGGTGCCGGAAGCGGCAGTTGCCATGGATCCCGCGGAGGACTGGCTTGTGGAATCCTTGCGCTTGTAAATCGTGAGGGATTGGGAGCTGAGCCTGGGCCTGAAATGCGTCTAGTGGGCGGATGAGTGTGGGTGGAGGCACGTAGGGAATCCTGGTATGAGGGGGACGCGTGGCTGGGTCTATGCGGAATGACTCTTCTTGGGCCTCGGCTTTTTTATCTGAAAAATGGCCCGTTCTGCGTGCTAGTGGTGTTAAGAGCTGTGCTAGTGATGGATAATAATACCAACACAGATGATCAGTTATTTTGCTCCAGCCTCTAGGTTAAACATTGAACACAGATTAACTTATTGGATCTTCACATCAACTTTGGGTGTCCTGGGAGTTCCACAGATGAAAACCGAAGCTCAGGGCTTAGTGTTTGGCTTAGTCCCAGTCACACGGGGTGTAAAATAGGAACTAAGACAAGTCCCTTGGGCTGGGGATGTAGCTCAAGCAGTAACATGCTCGCCTGGCATGCGCAGGGTTCTGGGTTGAATCCTCAGCACCACATAAAAATAAAATAAAGCTGTTGTGTCCGCCGAAAACTGAAAAAAAAAAAAGACACAGTCCCTTGTCTGCCTGACTCCAGATCCAGGTCCCTAACCATGGAATTCTGTTATTTTTGTCAGCTATACAGTTCCATGCACCGTGTGATTGTGTCCCTTTTGTGCAGGTACCAGGATTTCCATGCATTCGACCTCTCAGGAGCCACACGAGTCCTTGAATGGATTGGTGACAAAGGTGATAAAACTTGCCTGGCCCTAAAGGAAATGGAATCACATTTCTCAGGCTGAGAGTCAGGGGCTCAGTCTAGAGGGATCCAGGCTTCTCTTTTGGGAGCCTGAGGGCCTATTGGTCACTTTTTGAAATTTGGTGCCCATCAGCATTTGCGTTCCTTTTATTAAGACCCTCCATCCCCTGATTCAAGGCTGCACACTGATGGGGAAGGAATTTATCCCTGATTGGGCCTATTTGGCAGGAATTTATAGATCCATCCATTGTCTATAATAATCTTCCTAATGATTTATCATAGCTGCTGCTTTTTTCCAGGAGTCTTTGTTGCTGGCTATGAAAGCCTGAAAAAAAATGAGATTCTTCATCTGATACTACCTCTCAGACTTTCTGTAAAGGAAAACCAGGTAATTTGAAATACAAGTATATATGTTCATTTTTATTTATTAAGCATTTGAAAACTCCTGTTACACACCAGGTATTGTCCTGGATGCTGGAGACACACACACACACACACACACACACACACAAAATGGTCATGCCCTTACAGTCTACTAGAGGGAGACAAGTTTGAACAGAGATAAGTGTTATAGAATCTCATGTGATTCACAGAGGGCTACTAGAGGAAGAGGTCAGTTTTATTAAAAATAGATTTTGGGGGTGGGGCTATAGCTCAGTGGTAGAGCGCTTGCCTCACATGCGTGAGGCACTGGGTTGGACCCTCAGCACCACATAAAAATAAATAAATAAAGACATCTTAAAAAAATAGATTTAGGGCCGGCCAGATGATGCATGCCAATAATCCCAATGGCTTGAGAGGCTGAGACAGGAAGATCACAAGTTGAAAGCCAGCCTCACCAACAGCAAGGTGCTAAGCAACTCAGTGAGATGCTGTCTCTAACTAAAATACAAAATAGGGAGCTTGGGTTGTGGCTCAGTGGTAGAGTGTTCACCTAGCATGTGCCAGGCCCTGGGTTTGATCCTCAGCACCACATAAAAATAAAAGTATTGTGTCGGACTACAACTAAAAAATAAATATTTTTAAAAAATAAAATACAAAATAGGACTCAGGATGTGGCTGAATGGCTAAGTGCCCCTGGGTTCAACCCCTGATACCCACTACCACCACCAAAAAAAAAATAGATTAGGAAGCCATTAGGGTATAGAAAGTAGTTGAAGCCCTTAGAATAGTTTAGATTGCCTAGACTAATATGTACTATAATAGATTAAGAGAAGATAGCTAAGGACAGAACTTCAGGAGACACAGTTAAAGGGACAGGTATAAGAATTGGAACCCACAAGAAATACTAAGGATAGTCTTTAATGTAGGAGGAGTTTCAGAAAAGGTCCAAATGCAAAAGAAGAAAACATGTCAAGAAGAGTCTATAGGGCTGGGGTTGTAGCTCAGTGGTAAAGCATTTGCCTAGTATAGTGAGGCCCTGGGTTTGATCCTCAGCACCAGAAAAAAACAAATTAATAAAGGTCAAATTCTTTAAAAAAGAATAAAAGTCAATAACTATGTAATGTTACTATAGAATCATTCAGGTGAGGATTGAAGTTTGTTTATTAGATTGGCAATTGGGAAGATCTTGGTAACCTCTGGCACAGCATTTTAATGACGGTCAGGGCCAAAGACTGAGAGAAAGGAGGAAGTGGAGATGCAGGAAGAGAAGAAATCAGAACAATAACTAGTCAGAAATAGACTTGAAGAGGGAGGATTTCCTAAAGCCAGAAGTGTTAGCAGAGTTACAACCTGAGGAGAAGTAGCTCTTAAAGAGGGAGAGAATGTAGATGTAGGAGTGAGGGAATAACAGGAAAAATGATCCTAACCTCCAGTGATAGAAAAAGATCCTGCTTCCCCAAAATGGGAAGGGTGAGGCATACAGTTAAATAACTGAAAGGCCATGTAGGAACAGGAATTTGAAAATGTTTGTTTCTGAATAAACAAATTTATTTATTTGTTTGTTTGTTTTTGCAATACTGGGGATTGAACCCAGGGCCTTGTACATGCTCTACAACTGAGCTACACCCTTAGCCCTTTAAAATTCTTTAATAAGAAACCAAGTTATCTTACAGGGTAACCATGGTATAGTTAAGCTGAAGGTTTAGAATAGATGACAGGGTATACAGGAACCTATAAAGGGATTATTAAGACCAGGAGAGGCTGAGTCCCAGGCAGCCATAGTCCAGTGTTTCTCACAGTAGCCTAAAGACCACCTGTATCCAAGCTATTAAGGTTGCTGGCTAAAATGCAAATTCCTGGGCCCATTCCCAGACTGATTGTATTAGAATTTCAAGAGGTAAAGCTCAGAAAAATGCCAAGTGTTCCTTTGAAGAGCAGACTGTATCTGATTGGCCAACCCTTTGTATTTTAGGGCTTATTCCCAGAAAGAGATTTTAAATTGCGCCATGGCGGATTTTCAGACGGACCTGTCTTTGATCTAAAGCATGTGCCAGATACCAGGTATGGTCAGTTCTATGACTCAGACCTTCCATTTCAAGATGGGATGGCTGAAAATACCCAGGGGTGTCCCGCTTTTTTATTGCCTCCTCAGCTCTAACTACACACAGACATGTGAATGTGCACACAGATTTAGAACATAAAACCATTATCTCCATACCTACTTTGATTAATGTAACCACCAGGTCACTGGAATTGCTCTAGGGACTAGATAGATACAGGATAAAAAGGATGCTCTTAATCTTTCAGAGAGCTGATATATTAGATAGTTTGTGTAACTAGCTCAGTTAGAGGAAGCTAAGTCTGTAGGTCAGAGTTGTGTGTTCAGGCTCCTCATTGGTGTCCTCTCTAGATGGCTGAGCCTGAGCTCAGTCCCATGGCTCTCTATGAGCTGTGGGCCCATCCCTAAAGCAGAGCAAGCTGCTCATCTGTTAAATAAGGATGGCTGGTTTTGATCCTGCAGTACAAATTTTTGTTATGGGAGGTGAACAGATCCTAAGCTATGTGGACTGGAAAGGGGAAAGCTGTTGGGGTTTGGGGAGGAGCTCCCCACTATCTAGACTGATTTTCTATCTATCCTGAATAGGTTGCTGGTGACCAGTGGCCTTCCAGGTTGTTATCTGCAGGTGTGGCAGTTTGCAGAAGACAGTGGTGAGTAAATTTCACTTGGTGGAGGTTGAGGTTTAAGGAAAGTATGTGACTTACTCCTGCCCCCTACTCTTGAGTCAGGAAATACGTAGACTCTGAGTCAGGGGCAGGAGAATATAGAATCTACTTTTATAGTGGCAAAAAGACAAATTAGCAACCACAGCATGGCAGACAAGCCCCAAACGAATCTTCCCTGAACTTACTCCAAGAGTTGAGTTTACCCAACCCAGCCATAGAT